AGGGTTTAGGGTTTAGGGTTTAGGGTTTAGGGTTTAGGGTTTAGGGTTTAGGGTTTGACCTGAATGGAAAACTTTGTTGCTGTCACTGTTTCTGCTGTTGCATCCAACTTTGCCACTTTCACCTTCCCCTGCAGCTGTGCTGCTGCAGCAGCCCAAATGGGGGCGAGGGCTTTGCAGTGGCCGCACCAGGGGGCGTAGAACTCCACGAACCTGCCAAACCCTAAACCCTAAACCCTAAACCCTAAACCCTAAACCCTAAACCCTAAACCCTAGGCCCCGGCGGCGGCCCGCGGGCCCGCGGCAAGGCAGCCAGGGGAGAGGCCGCAGGCACAGCAGAGCAAGCAGCAGCGACGCCTCCCGCCTAAACCCTAAACCCTAAACCCTAAACCCTAAACCCTAAACCCTAAACCCTAAACCCTCACCATACGTTCTCTTCATCTTGCATCACCATCCTCTCGAAGTTCGAGTCCTTCAGCTCAATCACGTCTGCCTGGCCGTTGCTCTTGGGCTTGCTGCTGCTGCTGCTGCTGCTGCTGCTGCTGCTGCTGCTGCTTTTGCTGCTGCTTTTGCTGCTGCTGCTCTTGCCGCTGCCAGAGTCCATCTTCCCTGAGCACGGCGAACCCTAAACCCTAAACCCTAAACCCTAAACCCTTGCAGACGGAGGGACACCCTTCGAGGGTTTTCAGGGTTGTTTCGAGGGTTTAGGGTTTAGGGTTTAGAGCCGGATCGCCTGGGGCCAGGGGTCTTGGCTGCACCTCTGAGGCTGCAGCGAGGGTTTGGGGCGCCTTAAGCCCGCAATTAGGGTTTAGGGTTTAGGGTTTAGGGTTTAGGGTTTACCGGCCAGCCGGGCCCTCGCAAGCTTTCCAATATGAGTAACAGCAAATTCCAAAACTGAATTTGCGTCTCTGCTGCCTTCGTATTTGAAACTCTTGGGTTTGTTGCCCCCTGCGCGCAAACCCTAAACCCTAAACCCTAAACCCTAAACCCTAAACCCTAAACCCTAAACCCTAAACCCTAACCCTGCATCCCAGGGGCGGCCTGAAGCGCGCGTGAAGCGCGCCGCTGGCAGCCCCGCCGCCGGCGCAGCCAAACCCTAAACCCCAACCCCCGCGGCGAAGCCTAGGGTTTAGGGTTTAGGGTTTAGGGTTTAGGGTTTACCTCTGCCGGCAATGACCATGACCGTGGGAAACCCTGAAACTTCGAACTGCTGCATCAGCTGCTCGTCATTAACAGCAACAACAGACACAAACCCTCGAAGAGCGTCTGCGACTTGTTCGTAGACGGGGCCAAACCGCTGGCAGTGGCCGCACCTGCGCAAACCCTAAACCCTAAACCCTAAACCCTAAACCCTAAACCCTAGGCCCTAGGCCCTGCGCCCCGGGCTGGGGCTCGGGCTGGAGGCGGCGACGGCTGCGCCGCAAGCAGCAGCGGCGCGAGAGCGGCGGCCGCCGCGCCGGCGAGGGTTTAGGGTTTAGGGTTTGGCCACTAGGGTTTAGGGTTTAGGGTTTAGGGTTTAGGGTTTGGGAGGCACCAGTCCGCGTAAAACTCGACGAGGTGCAGCCCGTGAGAGTCCAGCACTTGGGACTTAAATTCTGCTGCATTCAAAACCCTAACTGGGCTGCTGCTGCTGTAGATTGCTGCTAGGGTTGGGGTGTACAGACACCCCAGCGCAGCAGCAGCAGCAGCAAGCAGCAGCGCCAGTCTGCTGCTGCTGCTGCAGGGGAGCCACTGCTGCCGAAAGCCAGCCATTGCTTCAGAAACGCTCGGAGACGGGACGACCCTGCTGCTGCTGCTGCTGCTGCTGCTGCTGCTGCTGCTGCGGTGTCTGCTGCTGCTGCTGCTGCTGCCGCCGCTGCTGCTGCTGCTTGGTCTTGCTGCACATTCAAAAAACAGAATTTCTGCTGCTCAGCTGCCGCCAGAGAGGCATGCACTGTCGCAGCCGCAGCAGCAGCTGCTGGTGCTGCTGCGGCTGCTGCTGCTGCTGCTGCAGCGGCTGCTGCTGCTGCTGCTGCTGCCGTCTACGGCGGCACAGTTGCTGCTGCTGGCCCACTTAACACTGAAAAGACCAGGAGCTAAAAAATAATTTAATTCACTAAAAATAATGCAAAACGACTTTGCTGCAAGAAAACCCTAAACCCTAAACCCTAAACCCTAAACCCTAAACCCTAAACCCTAACCGAGCTGCCCCAAGCCGTCTCGCATGCCCCTTCTTCGTGGCAGCGAGGGTTTAGCTGTCTTGGCACCCTCAGTCTAGTAATCCCTAAACCCTAAACCCTAAACCCTAAACCCTTAGCCACAAACCCTAAACCCTGAATGCCAAACCCTAAAACCGAGAGCGTACTCCCCAACTCTGGACTGCAAACCCTAAACCCTAGGCCGTGGCGAAAATTCCTGGCTGCAGAGCCGCCAGTCCATGCCTAGGGTTTAGGGTTTAGGGTTTAGGGTTTAGAAGAAATAATTAAGGCCAGAAAGCCAAACCCTAGAAGGTGCTTTCTGCGCA